CCCCAGATAGAGAGCGATCACTGACCAACCAAAGGATTCTGTCAAGTGCAACATGGTGAACCAATTTTATTGTGGGCCACTTACATGACCCCAGGGAGGAGACGTTAGGGTCCAGGGAGCAGGAAAGAGTGGGATAGGGGAGTCGGGAGAGAAACCAGCAGCAGACCTTCAACATATCAAGACTGCATTTATTCAGCACTCTGAGGGGCAACAGCCTTCCCGAGGGATGGAAACTACTGCAAGGAGGGGAGTGGTTGGAGGCATTCTTGAGAAATTTATGGTCCCCTCTTTCCTGGACCTGTTTTACACAAGTGAGACAGGCTGTCTTTGGAAGCAGGACATATAAATATAAATATATATGGGATCTTTTTGAGACAGGGTCTCCTGTAGCCCCAGCTGGCCTGGAGCTTGCTACATAGACCAGGCTGGCCTTGAACTCACAGAGATCCGCCAGCCTCTGCCTCCTGAGTGCTGGGATTAAAGGCGTGTGCCACCATGCCTGTTGGGAAACAGGCTGTCTTAAACAGTACTCCCTGAGTTCCGGGTGTACTGACCAACAAGGCCAACAGCAGTCTCAAGAGGCAGCCGGAGCATCCTGTCAGGGGAGTCTCTCCCAAAGGTTCCATAAAGGAATGTTACTAGACCTGATCTTGTGCAGGTCCAACCTTAAAGAAACAGAGACACAGCAATGTCCCCATCTTTCTTGGGGGCCCTCCAGTGTGCAGGAGCCAATGGTCCCCACCTATCACCCCCAGAACCCCCTCCTCGCAGGCCTCCACCTTGCGTTCATCCTGGGACGAGGCTCCAAGCTGGGTGAGAGGACCTTTGAGAACGGGCTCTGCCTTGTGGTCTTTGTGTCCACCTTCCGCATCTGATTTGTTGATGAGAGAGAGTGGTGAGGCAGTGCTGCATCCTCAATACCCCAATGTCCTGTGATGATTTCGCATCGGTTTGTGTCTTCCTTTGGGTCTGGGCTGGTTGGGCCTGATGGGTGGAGCAGGCATGGACTGGGGCTGGTTTCTCTTTGCAGTCACTCAATGCTTCCCTGTGTTCCATGGAGATGATTTGTAAAGCATCCTCTTCCTTATTGGATCTAATTTTCCTATTGCCTTTCACTAAAAGGAGAGACATTTCCCCACGGAAGAGACCAGGCTAAGATGTTTAGTGACACTGTTGTAAGGCACTCTCCTCCGAGCGATACAACCACCCTCTTTCTGGGTTCAGCTGTGCTTGCTTGCAAAAGATTATCACAGGTCAGTTTGTTAACTGTTGACTGTCCCTCAGAAGGAGGGGGCAATGGACTCTCACTTGAGCATCTGCCCACTCCTCCCAGCCAGCTGTATGCAATTCTGCCCTAACTGCACATGGCATGGGGTCTCAGGGAAGGGCTAGAGTATATTAGCTGGGGGAAGACTAGGGGAAGGAGGCTCTACCTGCAAATCTCAGGAAAGCCATCCATCAGCCATGCTGTGACTAGAACTTGCAGCACGACTGCTTTAGAGCAACCCACACCCCTGCCCATAGCCCCTCACCCATGCTCTCTGTAAGTAAGCCCAAAACACTCGCTGGTTCCCCAGGGTAAGTTTTTGGTGGAATCCAACTTTTGTTTGTCATTGGGACTTTAAGTGGAGGTAGGAGTGGTTAGATATGGCTTAGACCCCACCCCCCAGGGAGAAAATTCTTACAGAACATTCATATTCAACCACTGCACAACTCGTTCCTTCAGATGAACTGTTGTTGCTGATCTTTTACACAAACCACAATTTTGTTTTATACAGCCATGATCTCATGTATCTCAGGCTGGTCTCAGACTCTCTATGTAGCCAAGGATGACCTTGAACTCCTGATCCTCCTGTCTCTGCCTCCCAAATGCTAGAAAACAGGTATGTCCCATCACATCCAGTTTACAAGCCTCAGGTTTTGCTGGAGTCACTCAAGCAAGTGAACCAGTCACAGGAGAACCAAGCCTCTTTGTCTAGCCTAGATGCTCACAGCAACTTGGGGAAGAAAGGGTTGATTCATCTGACATTTCCAGGTCATAGTCCATCATGGAGGGAAGTCAGGGTAGAAATTTAAGCAAGAACTTAAAGCAGAAACCACAAGAAAATGTTGCTTCCTGGCTTTCTCTCTGGCTTGTATTCAGTGAGCGTGCTGGATAACTACAGTTGTCAACACACCTGGGAAGAGGCAACCTCAACTGGGGAAATTGTCTCTATCAGATTGGCCTGTGGGTATGTCTGTGAGGCATTTTCTTGATTGTTGAGTGATGCAGAAAGGCTCAGTCCAGCATGGGTGGTGCTACCCCTGTATATGTGGTCTTGAATTGTATAAGAAAGCAGGCTGAGCACAGGCCAGGGGCAGCAAGCCAGTAAGCAGCATTCCTGCATGGTCTTTGCTTCAGTTCCTACCAATGGGTTCCTGCCCTACTCAAGTTCCCTCAGTGATGGACTGTGATTGGGATGTGTAAGGCAGGTAAACCCTTTCCTCCCCAAGTTGCTTCTGGTCAGAGTGTTTTTATCACAGCAATAGAGAAACAACTAATGCAGATAGCTATCTTTTTAAAAATATTTTTATTTTATGTGTATGAGTGTATTGCCTGCATGTATGTAAGTGTACCTGTGTCTTGCAACGCCCATGGAGGTCAGAATAGGGCGACAAATTCCCCTGGAACTAGAGTTATGCCATAAGATGGTTGTTAGCCACCATGTGGGTACTGGGAACCGAACTCAGGACCTCTGCAAGAGCAGCCAGTGCTCTTAAGCCCTGAGCCATTCTCCAGTCCCTAGATAACTTTTTTATATAGTCCTGGCCCACCTGCCTAGGGATGGTGCCTCTCACAATGGACTGGGCCCTCCCACAGCAATCAAGACAGTTTCTCACTGACATGGCCACAGGTCAGTTTGATCTGGGAGATTCCTCATTAAAGGTCCTTTCTTCCCAGGTGTCTTTAGGTTGTATCAAATTGACAGTAAAAACCATCCAACCAAGTATGGTGTACACAGGGGAGACTTTGTCATTTATTTATTTATTTTATTTTCGAGACAGGGTCTCCCTGTAGCCTGAGGTTGGCCTAGAACTCACAGAGATCTGCCTGCCTCTGGCTCCAAAGTGCTGGGATTAAAGGCATGTACCACTACACTCAGCTGTTTTTATTTTTAAAATATTTTTATTTTATGTGTATGTGTATATTGCCTGCATGTAAGTGCACCCGTGTCGTGCAATGCCTTCGGAGGATAGAAGAGGCTACCAGATCCCCTGAAACTGGAGTTACAGACAGTTGTTAGCTGCATGTGGGAGCTGGGATTTGAACCGGGGTCTTCTACGAGAACAGCCAGTGTTCTTAACCACGGAGCCATCGCTCCCGCCCTGAAACTCTGTCTTTTAAAAAACTGTGGTCAGGTGTGATGGCACACACCTTTAATTCCAGCACTCAGGACTCAGAGGCAGATGGATCTCTGAGTTCAAGGCCAGCCTGCTCTACATAGTGAGTTTCAGGTGAGCCAAGGCTGCGTAGTGAGATCCTGTCTCAATAAACAAAATCAAAACAACTCTGACAATGCTATTATAGATTAACTAGAAGCTCAAAAGCTAAGAAGGTTTGGATATTGATCTTGAGCTGAATGTACAAGAGAAGAGTCATTTAGTGGTTTACAAGTTCTGATCCTTATAAAGTTCCCAGAAATGTGATTTTTTTTCAGAAGCCCTATGATTCAGAAGGCACTGCTGTGCCAGGCACCACCCATACTTTTATTCAGAATTTTCTCCAGCATCAGTTGGGGAACTACATGCTTTTGATCAGTGTTTTAAAAAATATTTTTGAGTGCGTTGCCTGCATGTATGAAAGCATACCATGTCATGCAGTGCCTGAGGTGGTCAGAAGAGCGTGTCGAATTCCCCTGGAACTGGAGATATGGACAGTTGTTAGCCACCATGTGAGTCCTGGGAATTGAACAGGGTCCTCTGCAAGAGCAGCCAGTGCTCTTAACTGCTGAGCCACCTCTCCAGCCCATTGATCAATGTTTTATCATAGCAACAGAAAACAAACACAATGCTGGTCTCAAACTTCTGGGCACAAATTCTTGCCTCAGCCTCCAGAGCAGCTGAGATAACAACTGTGTGCCACCACTCCGGCCATGGGAGAAATTTCTCCAAGGCCTGCCAAGCCCTGTTCAACATTTCTAGCAACAGAGCCAGCAAGTCTCCTGGGCAGGGCCACTTTTAGCAGGAGAGAGGAAAGTGTGGTTGAGGTCTCAGAGGAGCTGGAGGGAAGGCCTGCTCTAGGGACCTAGTTGTTGGTGCAGGGCTGTCTGTGGATGGGTGCTCCAAGTTTAATAGCCATCAGCTGTTAGGTGGCTGTTCCACTTTAAGATCAGAGTTTCTTGGGCTGTTATGGTCATTCAGTGTAGTCATTTAGTGTAAGCTGGAGTGCACAGAACATGTGTGTGTGAGAGAGATCTTGGTGGACAAGGGAAAGAAAGGGACCTGCGGGCTAGCTGGGTGTCTGTTCAAGGGTCAATGAGGTTACACAGGAACAATCATCACAGCCTGGGACCACTCCATCAAATTAAGGATACGGTTCCAAATCCAGGCACCCTTCAGGGATTCTGAGGCTATTGTGAACACTTGGGGCTACAGGGCTCAAGGGGGTGTGGGTGGGGGCTTCCAGGAAAGCATCATGGGGGAGGGGCACCACCTAGGGGCAGAGACTATTCCTGCTCACAGGGAACCAAGAGTGACTGGGTTCCATCAGAAGAAAGCCTGGCCCCACAGCCCGGAGGGTTCCAAGTAGGTAGGGGGGATAGCAGGCCTAAGAGCTACAGGGGTCCAGGTGGTCTTAACCCTGGCTACTATGGGATGTGCCCCTCAGCTGTCCCTGGCCGTCCCTCAGCTTCCTCCATTTTCTCAGCAGCTCAAAGAACAGAATCAAGAGAAGTTGGGGAGGAAATAGCAAAGCACAGAGAAAAGCAGAAGTGGACGCCTTAAAGACTGATCCACCCGCAGAGGGGCAGAGCCCTGGAAGGTCCAGCCGTGGCCTGGCTGCCAGTGACCTGTGTGTAGGTGAAATGACCCCGGGGGCTCCAGCTCCGTGGCTGCCTTCTTTGCTCCTGCTTCTCTGGCTTCCAGGTGAGAGGCTGTCTGCCTGGGAGGGTCCACAGGAGGAGGGCAGGTGGGAAGACTCAGGGAGATGTTACAGGTACCAGAGCTCCGGCTCCTCTATGCAGAACACGGAGTGTGGCAGCTGTATCCACCATGTATGGTGGACTGAGCGAAGGACACACTGCCAGGAGGGAAGGGGTCAGGGTCTCCTTCTGCACCCAGCTGACAGGGGGCACAAGGGACCAGGCCACAGTGAGGAACCAAGGGTGGCTTCCCAGGAGGGTTTGGGGATGAGTTACTACAGGAAAGGGGAGAGGGTGGGACAGGTGATGTGGACCATGCTGAGGGCCCCTGAGAGTCACATGTTGGTGTAGAGTATATGGAGATATTTAGCCAGATTTAGTCTTGATATGTTACACTGACTTCATGAAAAGCATCAGAGACTTCCCAAATTCTATATTTTCTCCAGACATTAAAACGGAATTGGAATTGTTGGTTCCTGGAAGGAAGGTTTGAGCAAAGTGTCTTTTGTAATACTGTCTTGATCTTGCTCCTTTTTAAAAACTTTGTTTTTCCAGAAGGGAAAGAACTTTTTTATTTGAGAATTTCATACATGTATATAATGTATCTTTTAAAAATTAAAAAAAAATCTATGTGTATGAGTGTATTGCCTGCATGTCTAAGCACCTGTGTCATGCAGTGCCCGGAGAGGTTAGAGAGCGTTGGATCCCCTGGAACTGGCATTACCGTGGTGGTTAGCTGCCATGTGGGTACTGGGAACTGAACCCAGGTCCTCTGCCATAGCAGCCAGTGCTCTTAGCTGCTGAGCCATCTTTCCAGCCCCATAATGTATCTTGATGATATCCACTCCTCTCCCTCCAGCTCCCTCCTCTATACATCTCCCTCCCAACTTTCTCTCTAAATACTGGCAACATCTCTCTCTCTCTCTCTCTCTCTCTCTCTCTCTCTCTCTCTCTCTAAATAGCCCACTGAGATCCACTACCAATGGCCACACCCCCAAAGAAAAGTGATCCTTCCTCCCTTCTTCCTTTCCTCCCTCCCTCCCTCCCTCAGTAGCCATCCATGTCCAAAGGTCCTCAGCTAGGGGTGGGAAAGAACTTTATAATAACACTTACTGTTACTGACCTACATTTGAAAAGTCTGTTCTTGGCTTATATTAGTCATTTGTATTTTCCTAGAAAATTTTTTATTTCATTTACATTTACAGACTTATTTATAGAAGCTTGAAAATTATCCTGATTATTTTTCCTTTTGTGTATTTGGGTTTTCTTTTTTCTTTGGGAGTTAAGTGTCTGAAAGTGACATGTTGAGGGCAGAAGTGGAAGGTTTCCAGGTCAGGAAGAGGAGCCAAGAACCAAGCCCACAATCTACAGCTGGGGTGGGGGAGTGAAAGGCTCAGGGAACAGCATCCTCTCTGGGCCAGGAAAGGCTTAGGAGGGCTGGGATCTGGTGTTCATTTATCAACCACTCCAGGGCTGGGGAGATGGCTCAGTGGGCAAAGGGCTTGCTGTGCAAGCATGAGGACCTGAGTTTGAATATCCAGCACCCATGTGAAAGCTGGGTGTGGCAGTGCCATGTCAGACATCCCAGCACTGGGAGGTAGAGGCAGGTGGAGCCTAGGAACTGTAGTCATTCAGCGTAGCTGAAAAATGGGGGGGGGGTTGAGGAAGAGAAGGGCTCCTGGCTTAGTGAGAGACACTGTCTCAAAGGTGGAGCGAGATAGTCAGGAACCGACCTTGACCTCTGACCTCCACAGGGACCCATGCAGGTGAGCACCCACACACACACTTCATATCTGCAATTCTAGTCACTTAGGTTTTTCAAGAAAAGTGACATATCCATCCATACCACACGCTTATTTATAGAGAATGTCTGCAAAATACCAGTTACTTTCTTTTTCATTTTTTGGTTTTGTTTTGGGTTTTTGAGACAGGGTCTCCCTATAGCCCCAGATGGCCGGGAACTCACTATGTAGACCAGGTTAGCCTCGATCTCATAGAGATCCACCTGCCTCTGTTTCCTGAATGCTAGGACTAAAGGTGTGCACCACTATGCCCAGCTTAGATTCTTTTTTGAAAATTTTTTTTCTGTGTATGAGTGTTTTGCCTGCATGTATGTATGCAATGCCTGCTGAGGCCAGAAGAGGGTGTTGGGTCCCTTGGAACTGGAGTTAGGGATGGTTGTTAGCTGCCATATGGGTGCTGGGAACTGAATCTGGGTCCTCTGAAAGAGCAGCCAGCTCATAATGGCTGAGCTGCCTCTCCAGCCCCATCATCTTGATCCTTTTAATCTTTTCTGTATCTGAGGTTATCTTCTCTCTTCAGGGTTCTTAGTCAGGTCAGACAAGTGGTTATCTGATTGTTTTATTAAATCAAATCATATGAAAGTCCTGTTTTCAGGGTCAAGAACAATTGGACATCAGTAACTTCTTGTGGTTTGAGCCAATATTTTTAGATATTTTTGCCCCCGTGATCTCTCTTATTGAATATCCCACAGGCCATGTCAGATAAACACACTTATCCACCACTTTGCAGACCAGGCATCCAAAGCTCAGAGAGGTTAAGCACCTTGCCCCAGAACACACAGCAGATATGTCATAGAACTGAGACATAAACCCAAGTTTTTTTGAGGCCCTGTAGCTTCACATTGGCAATTGCTGCTGTTGTTCTTAGTGAATGTCACCTGTGACAGGGGACCTGCACACTGAGGCCAAAAGAGGGAATCTGGGACAATAAAGTCTGGGCAGGTGTAGACTGGGAATATGGAGCTGATGGATTGGGGCCAGAGCTCATGCTGAGTGTTCTTGAGGGTCTACCACCTGGTATTGGTGGGTGTTGGTGGAGGGAGGCACTGTCCCCAAGGCTGGGTCAGTGAGCTTTAAGAACCTCAGAGTTGGAGAGATGGCCCAGTGGTCAAGAACGCACACTGCTCTTGCAGAGTACCTGAGTTCTGTTCCTAGTACCCACATTGGACAGCTCATAACTGCCTCTAACTCCCGCTCCAGGGAATTCAACACCCTCCTCCAGCCTCCTCAGGCATTGCACTCATGTGTCCAAACCCACACTTACATATACACACATAATTAAAAATAAAAAATAGGGGCTAGAGAGATGGCGCAGCAGTTAAGAGTGCTTGTTTTTTTCTGAGGACTTGAGTTTGGTTCCCAGCACCCGCCTCAGGTGGCTCACAACCACCTGTAACTCCAGCTCCAGGGGTTCCAACACCCTCTTCTGGACTCCACAGGCACCACCACCACACACAGACACACATACATAATTAAAAATTAAATTAAAACCTTTTTTTAAAAAAGGTTTTTCAGAAAGCAGAGGCAGGTAGATCTCTGAGTTCAAGGCCAGCCTGGTCTACATAGTGAGTTCCAGACCAGCTGGGGCTACAGGGAGACCCTGTTTCAAAAAGACTAAAAGATAAAAAATATTAAAAAAAACCCCAAATCAGAAAAAAAAATCAATCTTCAAAGTCAGCAAGGTAAACCCTAAATAGAGCAATAAATTCCCACTCTCTTCTTTCTGGTCACAAGGGCAGTAAGGGAGCCGGGCACACAGCTGTCCTTGGGCATGTGCCCACGGGCCCAGGGCTGAGTGAGTTCTCTGCTTGGTGGCTGCATTGCTTCCTGCCGTCACCACAGTCCCAGCTTTGTGTCTGAGGACTGGAAAAATGACAGATATGAATCTTGGGAATCAAAACTGAGCTTCATTGAAAGTTAAGCCAACCAACACTGGTCCACTGAGTAAGAGGATGGAGTGAGTGAGGACTCTCATCCCTGAGCCCTTTGCGCTTGTGACTACTTTGAACCATGTACTTGTCAAATGTGTACCGTGTCTTGTTAAGATGGTCTGCCCACCACCTTCCACTCTGGCTGTGTTGCTGTGGTGGGACCATGTGGGGAGTGTGGCCATTCGCCCAGGTCCTGAGATGCCCAGGGCTGGTAAGTTTGAAAGCATTAAACCCTGGCAGGGAGGGATAGAGGAGACAGAGGCCGAAGGAGGGGGTGGGGCAGAAGGGGAGGGTGCTGAGGGATGGTTGGCTGGTGGGGGACTGATGGGAGGTGAAGGAATATGGAGTGGAACTTTTGGAGGACCGTCCCCCATCCAGCTATGGGGGTGCAGAATTGGGGCCTGTGTTTTCCAGGCTGTGCTCCTCTGAGTGGCCCTGGGACTGTGACAGGCATCGTGGGGAGATCCCTGAGCGTGCAGTGTCAGTACGAAGAGAAGTACAAGACATACAACAAGTACTGGTGCAGAAAATCACTGTTACTGTGTTCAACAATTGTGAAGACCAAGAGCTCAGGAGAAGTGAGGAAAGACCGAGTGTCCATCAGGGACCATCCAGCCAACCTGACCTTCACGGTGACCTTGGAGCACCTCACCCTGAATGATGCAGACACCTACGAGTGTGGGATAGATACACCATGGACTGAAGGATTTGATAAGTCCGTCGAGGTTATGGTGTTTATAGTCCCAGGTGAGCCCCCTCCATGAGCACCAGGACCCTGGTGGCTGGAAGTGGTGGCACTTGCTGAATTAGGAATCAGATCAGAGTCTGGGAGCAAGCTGTGTGTTTTGGGGTCAGGGAGGGACAGGGACAGCAAGACAGGGAAGCACCCTGGAGTAGCTACACTTGAGGGGAGGCAGGGGCTGGTCTGTCAGGGGACAGGAGGCAGAACAGTGTGCCTAGGACAGGGTGTCCTGTGCGGTACCTCGTGAAAATCAGGGTTGCATGAGGGAGGTGAGGGCTGGGGAGGGGCTTAGTAGGGGACAGATGATTGATAGTGCTGTGTGCAGAGGGAGCTTTGAGTGACAAGCCAGCTTTGCAGTTAGACACTCATCTCTGGCAGCATGTGGCTGTGGCTGGAGGAGAGCAAACTTGGTATGGGGCAGTGACTCGAGGCATTCAGGAGGCCCCGCCCACCAAGAGAGAACTGTGCTTCATGGGAGCCCCCGCCTACCAAGTTAGAACCATGCATCATGCCCCCCCTACCAAGTTAGAACCATGCATCATGCCCCCCCTACCAAGTTAGAACCATGCATCATGGCTCCCCCCCCCATGCGCCTACCAAGTTAGAACCATGCATCATGCCCCCCCCACCAAGTTAGAACCATGCATCATGGCTCCCCCCCACCACGCGCCTACCAAGATAGAACCATGCATCATGGGGGTGGCACCTGAGTCCTGTTTGGAAATGCTCTGCCGGCCAAGGAGAAGCCCCCATCCTGCTCCTTCCTGAGTGAGCATTTGGTGAGAAATCAACTCAAAGTTATTGGCACCTGGGCATGGTACTGCATGTCTGTGATCTCAATACTCAGGAGGCTGAGGCAGGAGGATCATGAGTTCAGGTCAGCCCAGGCTGCATGCAACATATCAAGACCTCACTTCGAAAAGCAGAGAGAGACAGAGAGAGCGCCCAGCTCTGATCTGTGGTTTTTATCACCAGAACCAACATCAGGGCCACCTATGAATGTCACAGCCAAGACTTTGGCAACCAGAAGCACATTTCCAGTTGTGCTGCCCACCAGCTTGGCCACTGAGAGTTCCACCCAAGGTTCCAACAGCACGGAAGACCACCATGAGCACCAGGGCCTGAGGTGAGGTGCTGAGGCCCGTAAGAGGAGGACACCCCAGCCATGTGGTCCCCTTGGGAGGAGGGCTACCAGGAACACTTGGGGTTGAGGAGAGACACTTTGGTTGGTTCCTATCCTGGAGATGGTCCTTCTCCTCCGAGGTGCTTGGGTGAGCACTGTGGCCATATGGTGGTGTGACACCCTGCTGGCCGGGACCTCGTATGTGCTTGGCTCCAGTCCAGGCAGGAAGCCATAGGTTGCTGGCCACACTGGACCTGCCTAGACTCAAAGACAGGGAGAGCTCAGGCTGAGGAGGACCTGGGATGGGGGTGGAAGGACAGCCGCAGTGAACGAGGGCTAGCAGCCTGTCAGACATGCTCAGTGCTTTGCAGGAATGTTCTTCATACATCATGATGACCTTCTTGTCAACATGTTCATTTTACAGATGAGTAAACTGAGGCTAAGCAACTTGTCATATAGCTATCAGACAAGTTGTAGGGCTGGGCTCAGGTTTATACGATCCTAAAATTTTAGGTTCTCCCTCCAACTGGTTCCTCATCTTTTTGGGGGTCACCAATGCTACAGAGACGCTGACATCTACGGACTTGTCCCAGAAAAATGCATGCAGTCACCAACTATTTTGGGGGTTCAGGGACTCTCTATTCTGCTCCTGCTTGGTACTGCGATTGGATCCTGGCACTGACTGGAGTTAGTATAGATTCCACAGGTGAAGGGCTGGCCACCTGCACCTCTAACCTCTAGCTATAAATGTGGAGGTTCCCATGACCCCTTGGGTTCAGTAACTCGCTAAAGTCATCACTGACAGAAATGGTTTTATCATAAAAGATAAAGCTTAAGAGCAGTCAAATGAAGAGACAGCAGGGTAAGATTGAGAGGATCCCAAGCAGAGTGCCTGTACCTGCTATCTCAGGTGAGAGCTGGGTGTGTTGCCCTCCTGGGACCTTTGTGTTTCCCCCTTACCCAGAGCTTCTCCCATTTCCTTTTCCAAATTTTAATTGGGGTCCCATGAAATACATTATGGACTGAATCAATGATCATAAGATTGAACTTGATCTCCAGCCCCTCCTCTCCCTTGAGATTGGGCTGGTGAGAACTGTCATCTCTGGCCCCATTCTATCATCTCACCTTTTAGCTACATAAAGCTTGTCAAATATTGTGACGTCATGACACGACACTGTCATCTACAAAGTTCATGCTTGAGAACCACACTATTGAGTCACACACAAGATTGCAAAAACAACCTTGAAATGTTTTAAGTAAGTTTATGGTTTGGCATCGTATTGTGTTCTTAGCTGTCCAGGGCCACGTGCTACGGGTTGGACACGCCTTTAAGCACAACTCAGATCCACAAACAACAAAGGTGATCCTATTACTTGGGAATTCCCAAGGATTAGGCAGGGGTGTCCAGCCTTTTGACATTGCAACACCATGTTGTGTTGTACAAACGGGTTGGACTACATTCAGAGTTCTGGGCATGTGGCCCATAGACTGCAGATTGGACAAGCCTGGTACAGTCTCTCTCCCAAGACCCAGGGACCGAGGCCAGTTTCTTCCTCATTACTTTACACCCTGAAGCCTTTCCACAAGTTTTCTGCCAACCTAGAGTCATGATGTTGATACTAAGGCAGCATGCAAAACCCAAGCTACTTTCCAAAGTTCATCTGCCGTATACACAGGAGGTGGAGACCAACTTTGCTGGGGCCTGAAGCTTATGCAGTATGTGTGTATGTGTTTATAACTGGGAGGGATGTGGGGGATAGGAGATTCTATGGTGTTGATCTTTATAAACGTATTATTTGTGTGTGTTTATGTGCACAAGCATGCATGCCACAATGCAGGTGTGGAGGTCGGAGGACAACTTTCAAGAGTCTGTTTTCTCCCACCATGTGTTCTGGGGATCAAACTCAGGTCATCAGGTTTTGTGTGGAAAGCTCTTTTACTCACTGAGTCATCTCTCCAGCCCCCTTTTAAAAATATTTGACTTTCAAAAGTCAGGGACTGGGTACTCAACATGGTGGCTAATAACCATTTCCAGGGGATCCGATGGCCTCTTCTGGACCTCCATGAGCATTGCATGACACGGGTGCGCTTACATGTATGCAGGCAGTATACTCATAACATTAAAAAAAGAGAAAAGCCAGGGGCTGGGGAAATGCATTCGTAGAGCATTTGCATGAGGTCCTGGGTTTGATCCCCATCAGTGAATAAACAACCCCTCCCCCTAAAGCCCAACAGCACAAGTGAGGGCAGGGAGATCGGCCCTCACTCCTCCCCCCTCCCCCCAGCCTCCCAGTGCTGCTGTCTGTGTTAGCTCTTCTGCTGTTGCTGTTGGTGACCTCCCTGCTGGCCTGGAGGATGTTTCAGAAGTGGGAGAAAGGTGAGTTAACTCCCTGTGCCCTTCTGCCCCCTTCCCCTGCCCCCCCGCACCAGGGTGGGCAAGTCCGGGGTGCAGCCTCTTGGTACTCTGTCCCTGTTCCTTAGAACAGGCACCACAGTAAACACATACCCTTAGAGCACACATATCAGGTGACCCTAGAGAGCAGATCCCAGAGGTGTCGCCCTAGGTATGGCGGCGATGGGCCTCACGAGGCGGCTCCCTAGAGGAAGTCTTTCTTTCTGGGGGCCTGAGTAGGTGCTTGGTGGGGCAGTAAACTTTTCCACGGCCTCCCACAGGCCTCTGCAGTTCTCTCAGTCCTCCATAGTGTGCTCTGCCCCCTTTGCTCTACCCCTTCTGTATGTCTTCTAGTCACAGGAAAGGAGCCTAAGCCTTGCTCTCTCCTGGGTCTGCTCTGCGAGCAGAGGGTCCCTCCCCTACCCCTCCCTGGTTTATTCCTCTAGACTCCAAGGACTGCCCTCAGATGTTCTGTTTCTGGGGCCTTGTCCTTGAAACCCACCCTCCTAGAATGACCTGAGGCCTTCCTACTCTGCTTTTATAGCTCTTTTTATACTAGATGGTCCCCGCCAGCATCCCTGACTGCCACCCCGCTGCACCCTGTGTGCTCCTGAAGGCCCTCGCCATGACTGGTCCCTACTTAACTATCTGATGGGTTAACCTGTACAGTGTCTCCAGCTGTACAGGTCCCCCAGGAAGCTCCTGGAAACTTGCAGCCCCACCCTTCCTGAGCTCAGATTGACAGGATTTGTACAGGGTGTGTATGGCACTCAGCAAGCAGGTTCTCCATGAACAGAACAGTGAATAAGCATTGGGGACCAAAGGATGGGAAGAAAGGGATCTGGGCTTCCTCCAGGGGAGCCCCAATCTTCCTCCCTGCCCTGAGACTCAGTGACCCCAGGAGCGGAGGGCCCTTAGGGCAATCTTTGTCCATCTTGATGAAATCTTTTGAGGCTACAATGAGGTTGTAGTGGTAGAAATGGGGCCACTCTGTCCCACAACTATTTGCTGGGCTGTTGCATGCTGTGGACCGGTGAGAGACAGGGAGGCCCAGGTCTTACAGGTTCACCTCTGGCAGTTTCTAGAGGCTGCCTTACAGGCAGAAGCCAGCCTCACAGGCTCTGCTGTGCAGAGTGGAAACAGAAGCACTTCCTCTTCCCCATCTGCCACTCTCCTATCCTCTCTGGAGCCTGCTAAGCCTCACGTGGCTGTCAGTCACCACATGGGAATTTCCCAGCCTGGGTGGACTCAGTTCTGTGAGTCTCAGGAGACTCCCAAAGTGCCCTTTCACCCAGAAACACTCTGGTCTCTCAAACAGCTGTTGTTGCTTTTGAGAAAAATGTAAGAGGCTGGCTGTGTTGGTCTGTGCCTGAAATCCCAGCTCTTGGGAGGCAGAGGCAGGAGGATTGCAGCAAGTTCAAGGCCAGCCAGGACTACATAGGGAGATCCTGTCTCAAAAACAAAACATGGGGCTGGAGAGATGGCTCAGCGGTTAAGAGCACTGACTGCTCTTGCAGAGGACCCAGGTTTGGTTCCCAGCACCCACATGGTGGCTAACAACTATCTGGAACTACAGTTCCAGAGGATCCAACGCCCCCTTCTGGCCTCTGTAGGCACTGCACACTTGGGTGCAATTGTATACACACACACACTTTTTTAATTTAAAAGAAAAAAACAGGATGGGGAGAGGGTTGCTGTAGTAAATTTAAAAAATAAATACACCAGGAAAGAGAAATTTCTCAAAGTACATGGTAAGTAAAACTCCAGAGTATTATGGGAGGGACATGAACCCAAAACCCAGAGAAAACCAACCTGACTTCAGAGGCATGTTCCTTCCAATTTTTTTCTATGCTTATATGATTTCTTAAAGATCTTGTTTTGTAGCCAGACAAGGTGGCACATGTGTGTATACCCAGCACGTGGGAAGCTGAGGCAGGAGGACAGAGAGTCTGAGGCCAGTATGGATTCCATAATAAGATCTTGTCTTTAAAAAATTCACGGGGCTGAAGAGCTGGCTCAGCAGTTAAGAGCACTGGTTGCTCTTGCAGAGGACCTGGGTTTGATTCCCAGCACCCACATGGCGGCTAACAACAGTCCACAACTTCAGTGCCAGGAAAATAATGCTCTTTTCAGACCTCTGCAGGCATTGCACACATGGATGCACTTACATGCAGGCAATACACTCATCCACATAAAATAAAAATAATAGATTTTTTAAATCTTAAAAATTCATACCAGGATTTCTTTTTTAAACCTGTAATTTTGCACTTAACACGTTATAGCATTTTCCCTACTGCTAAATGTTGTAAAAGCCAAAGATCTGTGAGGTCTCCAGGGAAAGGTCTCTCAGGGCTAAGTGCCCACCTTTGTTCTGCAGTTCCACCTCCTCCTTTTCTCTCTAGCTGTTGAGCATCCGGAGCAGTCCCAGAACCTCAAGCAGGTAAGGGAGCTATGGCAGGATGCATGCCAGGGTAGCTGAGTGTGGAGGGGACACAGAGGAGCCTGAGAGTCCCAGGGATGAGAAAGTGACAGACGTATCACTGGTAGATGGAGGGGTGCGCAACCGAGCAGTGCCTGGAGAGCTAGTCACCAAGTCTTGTCCCAAGTTCTGGCCAGTCTGTTCCCTTTTGCCTAGGACAGTGGACCAAGGGAAGATCCTCCCAGGCAAACTGACTAGGGAGCACTCTGCCTAGAGAGAACAGGGTGGGGGTGGAGCAAGGTGGGAAGGCAGAGGTTGGTACTCAGAGCATAGTGGGAGGGAGTTCTGTGTGGGGAAGCCGGGACAGAAGCCTGTAGGGAATGACTCTATGGATACTTTGTGGCCTCTTGCAGGCTACTGAGCACAGTGAGCCCCAGTATGTGAATCTACAACTGCACACGTTGTCCCTGCGGGAAGAGCCAGTGCCATCAAGTCAGGTAGAGGTAGAATACAGCACAGTGGTAAGTTCAGGAGCCTGGCTCCATCGGTATGAGGACCCTGGGCAATGTGAGGATACCACACAGGGGTAGAAGGGGATTGGTGTCATTGTGGCCATGAGGTAAAGGGTGATATGAGTGGCTGGTGACTATGGCCTATGTAATCAATTACACAGTTTATTAAGCATCTACTATATGCCATACACCTGATGTTAAAGCTCATGATGTCTCCCTGGGTTGAACCCCCTCATCTGTCCTGTATCAGTTCTGCCTTGCAGATTCTGCCCATGAGCCAATGTGGTCAAGCCTTAGGCTCAGTCATGTTAAAATGGGAATGGAGAAGGCTGCCTCCTTGTGTGTGACCCATCATTTTTGGGGGAGGTTCAAGCAGAGACTGGGAAAGACTTAAGCACCAGACAAGGCCTTCCTGGGGAGACCTCCGAGTCCCTTTATTCATCCTCCCAGGCTTCGAAGTCCACTGAACCCTTTTTGGACGCCCTGAGGGATACCATGGAGGATGGTGGCAGGGAATGGGTGGCACTGGCTGCTCTACCCTGGAAAACTGACCCGACTCCCCAAATGTGTCCAATCTGGCCCCATTCACCCCAGCTGTCCCTGTGCCATGGGGAATTAAAAGGGTTCTATCCCATACCTTCTAGTTCCCCCAAAGCTATGGCTTTCCCTGACTTATGCCAGCTGCCTTTTGAGAGTGAGGTATGGGGCAGGGTGTCCAGTGTCTCACTATAAGCAGCTGGCCATGTCTAGTTACTCAGATGGTGCCTGGCCACATGTCTGAAATCCCCATTCCTTTGTCATATAACATGTTCTCCTGTCCTCCTGTCCTTCCATGGGACTAGCAACAACCTGGCCTCACTTGGTGACTAGTGATGTAAAATCGATTAGAGGATAGCTTTCTTTTTCTATAGACCCCCTTGGGATAAGCAAGTCAGCTTGTGTCCAAGAACAGTTAACCACAGGACAGAACCATCACAGTGCACCCTGCTGGCCAGGCTCTACCTGGAGCTCAGGGAGCCCAAGAAGTTACACCAAGGTGTATACAGTGATTTCTCGAGTCCTATCAACTTTAGAAACTTCTCAGGCCTTGATGCCAACCTTGTATTAATAGAATAGGCCCTGCTGGGTCAGCCCTGAGGATCCCAGGAACTCCCTGGGTCTGATTCCTGAGGGACTTCCCTCTGTGGCTTGACCAGGGACGGTGGAGCAGGTCGGCAGGCAGGGTTGCTGCATTCAGTTCTGGCCTCTTGGGAACTTGGCCTGATCCCAGACTCTCTCTCTGCAGGCCTTTCCCCGGGAAGAGCTACACTATTCTTCATTGGTGTTTGATTCACAGACTCAGAATTCAGATGCCAACAGGGTTTTCCCTCAGACGCCCCAGGGCCAAGAGCCAGAGTACAGTGTGGTCCGGAAACCCACAGGAAGCCGCTCTGAGTCTCATCCATGACGCCTTGGAGCCTGCTCCCCGCAGTGGTGATCATCAGGTTCCTGAGCTCTCTCTGGGCCATGCCCTGGATTCCATCAGCCTAGTTGGCTTCACAGAAGACAAGTGGGAACCAGGGTTCTGCAGGGACAGAGGGAAGCCCGCCCCCCGTCTCACCAGCTCTTTGCTGTATTCTGGCTCTGTGTGTGGAGCATGTAGCCACTGCATCCTGTGTGGCTCTGAGAAATGACAGGGTTCACAAAGAATGGCTTCTGTGGATAGCTTTGTAATCTCAGCCCCTCAGAAACATTCACAATTGCTGGGAAGTGAGGAAAAGAGTCACACAGGTGCAGAAGAGTCACGGGGTGGGGTATTACTAAACATTAGCTCCCCCATCTCACAGATAAACTAAGACACAGAGGAGAGGAGCCTGGCTCATGACTCCCAAGATCAGGGCCAAGTTCCTCTAGACTCTCAGATGGGTTTGTTTAATATAAAAGATAGAAATAAATTTTAAGACATTTTTAACAAGTTTTTTAATGTGTATATTTTACCTGCATGTAAGGGCATCATGTGTGTACAGTGCCCATGGGGGCTGGAAGAGGCCACTAAATCCCCTGGAACTGGAGTTACAGTTGTAACTTGGTGACATCCCGTGAGGATGTGTTGCCACAGGGTGGGAGACAGTCACAGCTGCTATACCCTGAATGGAACATAGAACAGGGTTTTCTTTAAGATATATTTCATTTTTATTCTGTGTGAGTGTATTGCCTACGTGCATGTAAGTGCACCTGTGTCATGCAATGCCCACGGAGGTCAGAAGAGGGCGTCAGCTTCCCTGGAACTAGAGTTTCGAATGACTGTCAGCCAACATGTGGGTGCTGAGACTTGAACCCAGGTCCTCTGTAAGAGCAGCCAGTGTTCTTAACCACTGAACTATCTCTCCAGCTCCACAACAGTGTTTTCTTGAAGGCAGAGGTGACCTGAAGTGTCTTGAGCCTGACACAGTTACCAATAGCTTTAAAACCATGTTTGCCACCTCTAGGATATGTAGCTCAGGGATTTTCTTAGATTTCTAAACATTGTATCAGAAGCTGCTTTGAGGGGTAAGTGGTCTCCAAAGGGTGGGAAGTATGTGGTTTGTGACTTCTTTGGATTATTTTTTAATTCCTGAGACAGTGTCTCTTGTAGCCCAGGCTAAATTTGAACTTACTATGTAACCAAGGACGATGACCTTGAACTTCTGATTCTCCAATACTATAATCCCAAGTATTGGGATTACAGGTGTGTGCCACCACATCCGATTTATAATACAGTACTGGGAATCAAGTTTGGAGGTTTGTGCAAGGCAAGCACTCTACCAAATGAGCCACATTCCCAGGGTGACTTAAAATTTAAATACACAGTCCTTATGTGTATGCATAAGGACTGCACACCCATGAGTCAGCCCAGATGTTTCCCCTTTACTAATGTTCTGAGGTGCAAAAGGAAACACAGCAATGGACAGGTGTCCAGCACTAGTCTCACAGTGTGGGGAGGCCTGGGGTCGTGGTAGAGCCCAGGTGTAGCTCACAGAGCTCTCAAGGTGTACTCAACTCTCCCCAGGTCTCAGCCCCAAGTGAGTCCTTATGGCAGAAAGAGCAATGGGCACTGGACTGTACAGCTGGAACCCAGTGCTTTAAGGGGGAAGTGGAGATGCTGTGGTCAAAAATAGCGGAGGGTTGGGTCTCAAAGCAGGGCGGGCTCAAACTTGGTGCCATTGGGTGACTAAGAGGGTGGGGCAGGGAAAGGAGGGCTCTGTTTGCTGGTGTGAGCCATTCATTGTGGGAGGGCCCAGGTGCCAATTGCCCAGCCAGAGGCAACTTTCCCCTCCTAAGGATGTGGGTCCCGTTTTCCCTTCATTTACTTTTCTACCCTACCCGTCTCCTCTCCCTGCTGCCTGGGGCAGATCAGCCCAAGAGTTCATTCATCCATGTATTCATTAATTCATTGCAGAGCATTTGTGGACAACCTGCTTCAGGACAGGTAGTAGGCTGGGGCCTAGGGGTAGAGTGAAGCATAGCATAGCCCCACCCCACATGCTCTGTTGGGATTACAGTGATGGCAACATGGACTTTATTCACTCACCTCCCGGTGTTGGGGCCGTAGACAAGAGGGAAGCACCTCTTTAGACACTGTCCTCCATGAACAGATGGGTAACATGATTTCCTGCTTTCCTGGTTTTTTTTTTTTGTTTTTTTTGTTTTTTTTGGTCTTCCTGAGACAGGGTTGCCCTGTAGCCCCAGCTGGCCTGGATGGAACTCGCTATGTAGACCAGGCTGGCCTTCAGCTCACAGAGATCCACCTCCAGACTGCTGGGATTAAAGGCTGGCCTTGAGCTCACAGAGATCCACCTCCGGACTGCTGGGATTAAAGGCTGGCCTTGAACTCACAGAGATCCAGCCTCCAGACTGCTGGGATTAAAGACGTGCTCCACCATACCTGGCATAGCCCAACTTTTAAAAGTACCACAGTATTTAAAAATTCCAATAATTCAAATGTTCAATATTTTTTTAAAGTCCCAAGTCTCTCAACTGTGGACTCCTGTAAAAGAAGTCACACACGTATTTCCAAGGGGAATAACCAGGCACAGACAGAACCGAAGCCCAGCAGTGTAACTCAATATCCAGCATCAGAGATGCACTCAATCTTCTGGCTCCATAGGGCTTGGGCAGCTCCACCTCTCTGGCTCTACCATCTGCAGCACACACTCTCTCGTAGGCTCAGGCTGGCGCCACTCCATACCTGCTGCTGTCCTTGGTCGTCATCCCATGGTCCTGGCATCTCCAATATGCTGAGGTCTCCTCTGAAGCCGAGATTTCACTGTCACATAGTACAAAGCCTCAGATTCTCCCCATGACCCCTTCAGTCCTGGGGTTCCCACTATAACTGAGGCTACACCTTCATCAATGGCCTCTCTCCATGCCAAGCCTCAGCTCTCCATGGCCCCTTCAATCCTGCTGCCAAAACCAGGACCAAGTCCAGTACCAATCTGGGGAGGCTCTGACACATTATTGGCCAAGTTTTGCTGGGAGCTTAATGTGCAGCTGTGGCCTGCCACTGGACCACAGCTTCTGGGTGCTAAACCCTGAGGAAATACTTCCCAGAGAGTTTCACTTCAATGATGCTGGTTTCCTTAATCACAGCTGATGCTTTCAGCCCCAGCTAACCAGCATCAATTGTTTCAGTAAACTGAAAGTTTCACTTCTATGGCGCTGGTCTCTTGTTAATCACAGCTGATTCTTTGGCCCCAGCTGAGCAGAAACCACAACTTCTCAATTCAAAATATCACATGAACAGCCCAGATAAGAGTTTTTGAGGTACTCTCAAAATTCACAAGCCAGGCCTCCATCCACATTTCTCTCTCTATCTCCCAAGCTCCCACAGAACAGCCCATTACGCTCTAAGCCTTCAACATCTTTTCCAGCCCAGAGTTCCAAACACTTTCACAGTCCTCCCAAAACAAGTCAGGTCCTTCACAGAAATATCCCATGACCCTGGTACTAACTTCTGTCCTAGTTTGATTTATTTTGCTGTGATAAAATGTTAACCAAAATCTAGAAAGGGGAGGAAAGAGTTTATTTCATCTTACCCTTCCAAGAGACAGTCCATCTGTCATGGAAGTCGGGAACTTAAGCGAGGCAGGAATCTGGAGGCAGGAACTGAAGCACAGACCATGGAGGAAGCTGCTTACTGACGTGCTCCTCTGGCCTATGCTCAGCCTGCTTTTTAAAAAAATATTATTTTATGTGTACGAGTGTATTGCCTGTGTGTATGTAAGTGCAATTGTGTTGTCCTGGTCAGAAGAGGGTGCTGGATCCCCTGGAAGTGGAGTTATGGACAGTTGTTAGCTGCCGTGTGGGTGCTGGGAACTGAACCAGGTCCTCTGCAAGAGCAGGCAGTGCTCTTAACCACTGAGCATCTCTCCAGACCTATGCCTGCTTTCTTAACCACTCAGGACCACCTTCCCAAGAGTGGTACCACCTACAAAGGGCTGGGCTCTTCCATATCACTCAACAATCAAGAAGATGCCTCGCAGACATGCCGACAGGCCATCGCTCCAGCAGAGGAAACGCTCCAGTTGAAGGCATTCCCAGGTGTGTCAAGTCGAGAACTGAAGCTGTCCAGCACAGTTGCTAAAGGGCCCCATCTGAGCCAAGGACAGAGAAGTTGGATGTTCCAAATTTACGTTAAAGAGTGGCCATCAGGGCTGGGGAGGTTAATCAGTGGGTAAAATGCTTGTCATACAAGCTTGAGGACCTAATTTGATCCCCAGAACCCACATAAAAAACTTGATGTGTGGCCAGCAAGAGGAATCAGAGGGTAAAGCTCTTGCTGCCTAGGCCTAAAGACCAAGTTTGGTCCTCGGAACCAACCTAAAGGTGGAAGGAGAGAACTGACTCCACAAAGTTGTCCTCTGACCTCCACACATCATGCACTGTGGCACATGAGCCTCCCTCCCACCTCTCTCTGTCTCTCTCTCATACATACGATAATTTTTAAAACGTGTTTACTTAATGTGTCTGAGCGTATTGCCTGCATGTATGTAAGTGCACCCATGTCATGCAATGCCTGCGGAGATAAGAAGAGGGTGTCAGATCCCCTGGAACTGGAGTTACAGACAGTTGTTAGCTGCCATATGGGGCCTGGGAACTGAACCAGGTCTTCTGCAAGAGCAGCCAGTGCTCTTAACTGCTGAGTCATCTCTCTGGTTCCACAATAAGAAATTTTTAAATCTAAATAATAAGTCAGTCATGTACCAGAAGTATCTGACATTCCAGCATTCCTGCACTAAAATGGAGGGAAAGCCAGGAGAATTCTGGGAAACTCAAGGGCCAGCTAGCCTGGCTTATGCGGTAGAAAAGCAAAGAGAGATCCTGTCTCTAGGTGGAAGTTAAGGACCAACCCCTCAGGTCGTCCTCTGGCCTCTACATATGTGCCTGCATCCACTCAACTGAATATACACACAGTCGCCATCAGGCGTTGATGGCTCTGCTGGCTCAGAAGCTGAGGTGATGAATCCTATGCCTTCTGTAGCCTGGGCTTGGAGTGGAGCAGGATAAAGAATCAGATGGAATGGCATTTCCATGGGGAAGCATCTTCTCCACTGAAATCAGGAAACCCATGCATGTCCAGTCATGAGTCTCAACAGTGCCATCTGTTGTGATCTCTCCCTGGGGAGATGTGAACAAATATTTATCTACTTACCCCAGGCAGGGCTCCAATGACAGACCAATGAAATGATTCCATCCAAGTCCATTTTGGTGAGCCAATGAGTTTATTGCAGAAGCATCAGTGATGGGTTGCTTAGAGGCCTGTGGGAGACCGCCCCCCCCCAATACATTTGTATCACTGAAAAATCCCATCCCAGCATAGGTACAGACCTTACAAAAGCTGCATATATGGAACCCCACTTCAGTTAACCTTCTACCCCTATG